CACTCTTAATTTTTTAGAAAATTTATGATTTATAAACGAAAAATACTGCCAATGTGAATAATCATTCAAATGAATATTAATACCCTATCGGATTATATAGAGAAGAAGTAATGATAATGAAAGAAAGGAATAGTATAATCAAGAGCTACATGACCTCTATACTCCAGATGTGGAAATTTCGACTTGATTTATAGAAAGAAATCAAAATTATCAAAATTAATATCAATCCTAACGAGATATTGAAATATATGACGGCATGGAGCCAGACTCGGCTGTTCAATCGAATCTCCGATAATATAAGTCTCACGAGACATGTTAAAAGTACTGCGAAATAATTGAAAAACCATAAAAAAGGAAAAATATGTGTCTAAAAACCACTTTCAGTAAATTGGTTTGAAACAAACAGTTTAGCAGCAGCAATTTTATCCAAATCAAGCGTTAACAGAGACCAACTTGTGCCGAATGAATAGACTATCAAAAATAAAAGAAGGAAAGGTTAAGGATTACACAGAATGATTGACTACAACGCAAGCAAGCTCGCAACCTTGATGTTATAGAGCCACAGATAGCACAGAAAGATTGAATATAACAAGTGTCAATCTTTCAACTCCACAGATCAAATGGAGGTGGACCCATTCTAAGTAGCAAGTTTTGGAGCGTGTTTATTGTTTTTATTAACAATATTTAATACCTTTATTTGATAAATATATCGCTATTTCAGACTGACAGACCACTGTATCATATCAATAAAATAGACAGTATATTTGATGGCTACACTGGTAATATCGGCAAAACATTTGAAGACGGAAATCTTCAAAGATGTCTATGCAATCTTGCTAGTAACATGCAGTGACAGATTAAGTGTATAACACCTTCATCTTTGTCATCTTATAACAGTGGAAACTATTAAAAATAGTACCCAATCGATGTACTTGCCCGTACCACACTGTTCTATTAGTACCGCAATTACGTTGGGCAGAGACTGGTAAACAAGATTGCTCTATTATATTCTGATAATAGGCGGACGCATTCCACTGTAAGTAAACGAGTGCTCTCATCTATTTAAATTTATATTTTTTGGAAATTATATATTAATTCTGGTCACTTTTGTCGCCAATAAACACACGAACTTCTCTTCATAATATAATAAAATGTTGTAAAAACAGAACCAAGAAATAAATTTACTACTTGACTATCACTGCAAATAATCCTGTTAAATTCTGTGCCTAAAAAATGCTACAATGCTGTGGTAAAAAATATTCTCAAACTAACTACCAACTACGAAAAATATAGAATCAAAAACTCTTTCTAGGTAGTTCTGGCTTGAATGAACCTAGATTTCTAGATACTAATCTTCTTGATCTCAATACTCTCCCCTAAATTAAATTGCTAAATTAAAGTTTTTCACACTACCCTCCAGAGCAGTATTAGTAGCTGACAGGTAGTTAAGAAGTGTCCATCATCTTTTACTACACCCACCTATATCAAGGCAAAAATGCTTTCTAAGTAGCTATTAAGTGTCCACCGATCTTTCACTACACCCACTTCCATCAGCTTCCGATACAACTAATTCAATTTTCAATTTACCTAATAAGTTAACTTAATATCAAATATTTTATAAATTTCATATAATTACTTCGTCTATATAATTTTGCCACTCCACATAAATTTGTGAGGCATTTAGTCTGGTCTTATTGAGAATAATACTACTATAATATATAAGCTCTCAACCCACTTGGTGTACGCATAAAAACTCTTAATTACGATAGTGTACGAAAATCGGCTGAATTTTTCCCTTTGCACAACATCTCGTGTCATTTAAAATTGTACTTAACCCATTGCCTGACAATGTTGCGAAAACGCAACAATTTTAACGCTGTATTCAGCAATTTTTTAAAATTTAATTAAAAGGTTTTTGTGCTTATAGTTTTTTTTGTACAATAGGACTATGATTTATCTACAATATATAATTTTTTTTTTGACCTGAATTGTATAGATACAATTTAATGGAAGATTTTGCAGAGCCGTCTTTGTGTTATTTTAAAATTATACGACTTTTGCTTATTTTTATCCATGTGTTATATAAATGGAGAAAATTTGTGTTAATTTTTTACCTAAATCTTAATTACAATAGTGTATTCTAGCGAATCTATATAAATTGTAAGCTATTTGGTGATATATGTACGTTACACAAACTCTCAAAGTCAGGTGTTGCGAAAACGCAACAATGTCAAGAAACGAGTACTAAAGTTTTTTTCCGGTAAAGAAACTATTGCTTGTAACAGGTAGTCTCAATTAATTTTTTAGCGTAATAGCAATTAAATAATAAGCTTGCTCCAACTTATCACGATAAATATTCCCATGTTTTAAAATATTTAATGTTATCTTATGATTTTTTATGGTATTTCAGTATAATTTTTTACTTCTTCTTAGAAACTGTACAATGTTGGTGTATAAATATAAATTATTGAATAAATACACTAAGACTTTTAATACAGTCATTAGATTCAAATCAACATTTCTAGTGTCAATTTAATATTCAGCCTTAAAACATTAGTGTTAAAATAAGTGAACAACGAAAGTTTTTATCTATGTGTGATATTGAAGATATTTTGATGGGATCTAATGATATTGATTCCCCTGATAGTACACGCATTACTATCTTGCCTCCGCCCAATGTCGATAACCAGAGTGATGCGGAGGAATTAGATGACACGTTGATGGAGGATGGAGAACAACTACCAAATGAAGTAGCAGGTGAATTAGAAATGGTTTTCAATTATACGGCCGATGAAGTTGAAACTAACGTATCAAAAAAAAAAAACAAAAAAGAAAAACTAAAGTAGTCCAAAATTTATAAATATAAATGTAAATGTAAAGGACATATCTAAGCAGCTACGAGGAACAAGTGATGCGGTATACAATGTCGACAACAATGTATATTTATGTCGATGGAATGACAATTCTGTAGTTACAGTAGCATCACACAACATCGCAACTCTTCCTATGCAAACTACCAAAGGCTATATTAGAAAAGAGAAGAAAATGGGTAATATCAGCATGCCAAACATTATAAGCCATTATAATAAAACAATGGGTGGCGTTGATCTCTTTGACAATACTATAAACAATTACCGAATACGGATTCGAGGAAAAAAATGGTACTGGCCTCTTATAACTAATGGACTTGATGCAGCGATGGTTAACGCTTGGAAACTTCATTGCATTTTTCAAAAAAATGTTAAAAAAAGGCAATTATATCACAAGCTGACTTCCATGTAGAAGTAACAGAATATTTGCTAATAACAGAGGATCAGATTTTCGACACCCAAACATGCCAACATCATCAAGATACGACAATGTTGATCATAGAGTATCCCAAACACCTAACAGACAAAGGTGTAAATTGTGTCGCAGTCAAACCATATATAACTGTACCAAATGTAATGTTGCTTTGCACCCTAAGTGTTTTATAAATTATCAAAACAAGTGAATTAAATGTTCAAAAAACACACAAAAAATAAAAAATTAATAATATTAAAACATCAAAACTTTTTGGTATGTGAACCTTTATTCTGACAATGTTGCGAAAACGCAACAGTGGGTGCAGCCTAAACTGGGCGGGTTAGCAAAAAAAAAAAATTTTTTTTTCTTAATTAGGACTACATAAGTGCACAAGTAAAACGGCTTTAAGAAATTCCGCCTCCTTCTAGTAGCGTCAGATAATGGGTTAATGTACAACGCCTAAAGGCCTACTATAAGTCAGGCAACTAAACGACTTACTCTTCATACGTGCACGAGTGATAATAAATGATGCTTAGAAAGGATGCTTAAATTGTTGCTCCTTGTAAGCGAAAGCAACGTTTTTTTTTATTGCAAAAAAGCAGCAACAAAAATTTTCTTACATTTCCCTTTTTCACCTTTCTTTGCTTTGTCAACTCTTGTACAGACCCTTACATAGATTTTTATACCTTAACTGGGTATTTTTTGCCTTGGTATTTTACTAGAAGTATGCAACAGTGGTTGGTTGGTTGGTTGGTATTCGTTATGACATCAAGAAGAGGAAAATATGACTTAAGAGCATTTTATAGTATTTAACGTTGAGAGCACGTATTCAGTTATTCAAGTTGTACTCAAGTTGTTTTCTCCAGCAATATATTTGAGTATTAAAATATACAAAAATATAAGTTATCATATTATAAATACTTAAGCTCTCTGTGTTAGTGTCATAAACAATAATATAGTACGAAATTTTTTTGGTGCATTTGAGCGAAATGCATTTTTTTCACTATAAAATCTACCAAAAAGGCTACTTGTTTTTCGTGGTGAATAAATGCGCCAAAATAGGAATAGACATATGACCACTGAAAAGTGTTTTTATCAGTTAAAAAGCATTGCCAGTCAAGATTTATAGAGATTTATGAAATCAGATGATATGAAATGAAAGGGGGAAGTTGATAGCTTCTATTTAAACAGTTTGCTAAATTAATTAAAAATAAATTAATTTATAATGCAATTTTCTGTGTAAGCCCAACAAAATTTCAATTTTATTACTTGGCGTCAAATTTCATATTTAATCTTACTGAGTTTTGAGGCTCCTACTATTTATAATCGTAAAGTTATAGAGGCTTTTAATTTGTTGATTAATCTCATATTTCATAAAAATCGATTTTTCCAACCCTCAACTTGTTTTATTTACGTTTCTATGTGACTGTGACTGTGAAGCTATTCATCTACATGAAGTAAGCAAACTCAATTTTTGGCAGATATTTTGTTTACGGTATTGGAGTTTGGACTATTCCAAAGGAGTAAGAAGAATACAAATATATAGTAGTGTATATGATGATAGCAACTGGAAAGTAAATAATTTTAAGTACTTTACATTTAATACATTTCGTTTGGATGTGCACAGTACATACCGAGTATCACGCTTAATGTCTTATCAAATTTATTAAGTAAATAATAAAATATACAAATGCTAAAAAAAAAATTTAACTTACCCTGGCATGCATATGGGGATCACTTTCACCTGGTTGCTGTACCCCAGTGCGTATTTTCTTATTTTGCGGCCCGTCAGTAACGATACCGCCGCCTCCACCTCCGCCACTACCATTACTAGCGCCGTTATAAGGCATTGTGGTCGCCGTTGCGTAGTTTATATCCGAAATCACTTGTGGATGAATTATTTTGGCGATTTTACTTTAACCGTGTGTCAGACAAAAAAATTAAACGCTTAAACGCGCCGTTAACGTTCACCTAAACACTTTAACTTGTTTAGGTAAATGGTATACCGGCAAATTCGGTATACAAATACACAACAAATATATACGACAAAATGAGTTTACCGCTTTATATGTATTATTACAGATGTACCGTTAAGACACAGTGCAACTGTCTCTGAGTTTTTTTTTTACGTCTGATTTTGTAACACTGAGCTGTTATTTATGTTGTTCTTGTTTGTTGTTCTTGTAGTTTTTGATGAGGTTACGTTTGTTAGTCAGCTGTTATGCGAGTGTTGAGTAAGTATATGAAATGGAAGAGTAAGAAAAATACATATAAGATTTACATAAAAAATTTTTATTAAAAATTTGCAATTTTCAAATGCTATATAAATATAAGATAATAAGAATAAAAAAATATAAAAAACTAATCTTTTTTGAAGAAATAAACTACCTTAGAGAAATGTGCTCTTAAGATGACAATAAGCCACAGTCGAAATATTAATGAAAATAAAAGTAATTTAAAAATATATATTATTTAAACAACTGACCAATTAGCATGTTGCAAAAATAAAAATAATCGATAAAAAATGTTGATAATTAAAACAATTAATTATAAATAAAATCAATTCTTAAAGCACAATTTTAAATTTTTAATATAATGCAACTATTGCCTTTCTTATAGTAAATATTCTCTGATATTTAAGGGTTTCACTAGTTATTTACACGTCTTCGTAATAATAAAAGGTATATATTATATTTTTATAAAACATAAATTTAAAAAATTTACTAATAATTTATTAAATTTTATAAATTTATTAATATTTCTTTATTAAAACTTCAAATCAAATAAATAATGAATTATGCTTAAATGAGGTTTTTATTGTGTTTATATATTAAATATACATATTTTCATATATATATAATATTCAGTCATTCATTTATAAATCGCTGTTTTAAAACCATAGCATGGGTTTTATATACTATCCTTCCGCGTGGAGGATATAACGTGGACTCATAATACTACCAAGAAAATAGTTTCTGCTACGATTTTAGAACACATATATTAAAATAATTCATTAATATTTAAAAATGACTTTTTTTCTAATAATCTCACCAAGCTCTGAATCTTCATACTTTTCACAAAATTAATTTCACATTTGAACAACTAGCAAAAAAAAAATTACAAAAAATATTTATTTACGAAATTTTTATATTTTAACAAAACAATTTTTTAACTTTTTTAAATTATTTCTAAATTATTTAAAACTCAATGAATCCGTATTAAAATTTTCTATCAAGCAACAATTTTTACTGCAGTAAACGCTTATTTCCCTGAGTTTAAGAAAAACAACTCTGTATCTATCACAGAAAAACCTAGATTAAATTGACAGAATCCACAAACATATTTTTAATTAAAGAAAAAAATGTAAAGCACACAAAAACTTTAATAAACATTTTTGGAAATATATATTCACAATTAAAGTAAAAAAAATAGTTGTAGCAAAAATTGATAACACTTATAACAACGTTGCTATTTTTACTTGAATAAAAGAAATAACTGTAAAAAGAAAATGCGGCACAAGCCAAACGTCAAAAAATACGAAAATCTAATTCTTAATAAAGGAGCAATATAAAGTTCTGTAAATAAACCGCGGCAAAATTTTTGTTTGAAAAAAGTTTTTCCATTTATATTTTGCACACAAAATAAACTTTTCGAATAACCACCCTTAAATTACCAATATTATTTAGTTATTTTATGGAACTACACTGAAAAGTGGGGAGCTCAGACGAAAAGAAATATAGAAAACTTTCTTTCAAGATAATTTTTTTTTGCAACTAAACTTCTTAACAAATTTATTATATTAAATTATATGTGATTTATTTATTTATTAATTAAAACACAAGCATATTTACTAACTGAAATTCATTTCCATGCTTTTCTATGTTAATTTAGTTTGTACCGTTTTAATAAGATATTTTCACCTTTTTTCACTTTACTGTTATGTGTCGGCGACGAAGTTGCACAAAAATGGCAGAAACTTTTCCGAACATGAAATTAATACAAAATATCAATTTTAATACAATTTTCAGAGTTGATATTTTTACTACGTATGAGTACTCGAAATGTGCCTATTTAGTTTAAAAAAATATTTATACAATAAATAATTACTTTTTCTTTACTTAATTTAATAAAAAAAACTAAACAAAACTGACTGCAAACAACCGACGGCGTGGACGCTAGACGAATGAATGTTATAGCAACCCCAATATATAGTGTGTGGGCAGAGTTAAGGGGTTGCTAATGCGCGTTAGTGTGAGAGCTTCAAATATATTTTAGAAAGCTTTGTGGAAAAAGCAAGCAGCAGCTTTTAGTCTTTAATCTATCAATGCAAACCAATACGAATGCTTACTTACTTTCATATTAAATAACGAAAGGCAATACTGAAAGCAACATGGAAAAGGAGTATAAAATGCACTGCTATTTTACAAGTTCAGCAGTTTGAGAGCTATTTTCTTATGTTGTTATACGTGTATGTATATGTGTTTAAAGCAAAATAGGTATGCTCCAAACTTGCGCTGCAGGAGAAAAACGTTTAGCACATGAGTAAAACCTTATTAAACATTATAAAAACTGCATGGAAAAAGTTGATATAACAAACAAAAACAAAATGGCATAAAATCAAATTAGAAAGAAAATTAATATAAACGTTGGTTGTATCAACTTGTAAGGCAACAATTGTCTTTGTTGTTGTTGTTGTTTTTTTTTGCAGTTAGCAGTTTTTATCTATGGTGAATGAAACAAGTTTAATGATAGTAAAAAAAAAAAAGAAAAACGAAAAAAACAAAATTTTCATGCCTAATATAATGTGAACAAGTGGACACTTTTTGCTTTTTCTAAGCATATAAAATTTGATATTTTCAATTTTACAATTTCATTTTAAAACATAAATATTTTTTATTTAAATTTTTATGCATTTTATGCATAAACACTTTTTCTTTAATAACGTTTTTGATTATCACCTTTTCGATTTTTCAACACTCACTTATTTCGCGAAAAAAAGACCGCTCGGAAAATTTTTACAACGTATATATCCAGTATATAATTTATTTATATTCCTCAAATTATATGAAGCGGAACAATTTTACTTTAATAAATTTTTTTCTGTTTTCAATATATGTATGATTAAACGAAAAAGTTAGACCGTAGTAATTATCTTTCTTTTTAATTTGTTTGAAAACAATTTGCTTTTTGATGTTAAACCGTTATACACCTCCGTTTCGCTATAAAGTACAATTCGTACTGAATTTAGCTCCAATGAGAAAATGTAATGACATGTACTTGCACAGATTTTTGTGTGAGTGCACATAAAAAGAGCAATTGGCTCACACATGCGTTCAAGTTCGCCGCGAAAATTTTGTTAACTTTGTGGCAAAAAAGCACTTTTTAATTTCGCTGCCTTCTTAACAGTGGGTTCAGTTATATTAAATTAGTTGTTATTTTAAAAGGATGTTCTTTTAGTAATTTGTAAAATTAATTAATTCGATTTTGAGTGAAGTGTGATTTTAGAAATATAGTGTATGTCGGGTAAGTTTTAAAGTAGTTATACATAATATTACTTTAAATGTTAAAAAAAATTAAAAGTGTATATGAATGAATAATGAAATTATATAAGTCGTCATAAATGATATATCCGATTTACTTATTTTTTAAGTAATAATTAAACAATTAATAAATTCATTACACTATTATAAATATAAAAAAATTAATTTTTAAGATATATAAAAATTTTTTCTAAAAAACTTTTTTTTCTGATATGTTATAGGTAAATGATTATATATGTACTATAAAAAACTGTTGATGTACTCAGTCCTTAATTAGTTTTTATGTGACAATATTATAGAAACAAATTACACTTAGAGGTTTACCTAATGACTAATCACCAAGTTCGGTGTAAATGTTAATTATGGATATTATATTGAAATTATGCCAAATTAAGATTAAAATAGAGCTAAGATTATTAATATTACTGTAACCAATGCTTCAAATGCCTATTAGTTTGTAAATAAATTAGTAATTTAAAAAAATTATTTTGATTTGATGACTTTATTTTGAATAATGTAATATTATAAAAAACGGTTAAACACATTTATTTCTCGACAAAGTTGTAAAGGAAAAATTTTAAACCAACTAGATTTCTTTATTTGGTTTATGTTAAATAAAAGTTTATTTATTTTGATTTACATTTCTCTACTTTTTTTTTGAAATACCTTAAAATTTAAATTCAATTTAAATTTTGTAAAACATTTTAAACTTTAGTTGTTGTTTTGCCGAATGTCAACAAACTTATTAGACCTTGTAAATATATTATTTTCTGCAGAATAATGTCACAGTTTGTCTTAAGACTTTGGCGGGGTATAGACAAAGTGTTAAGTGTTCTTTTTTAACAAAATAAAAATTCACAACTTTCTTTAACTCTTTTAATAAACTAAATACTCAACACAAATTCAAATTTTGAAATTATTCTGTTGAAATGTTATGAATATAAAATAATAATAATGTTATTTTAGTAAAATAATATAAAAAAAAAAGTTTTTTTCTATATCAAAATACAAATTAATTGCGTTCTTATATAATTAAATCATTTATATTTTACAACTATACACAAATTATTCTAGTTGACATGTCAAGTTTTATTTAATTCAACTCTGTAAAACCTTTTTCTTTGATTTCATTTTTTGTCCAGTATGTAACTGTTCACTTACAATCAAATCATTTGCGGCGAATATATCGTTTATGCGTTCAAAATGAGTATACAACGAACGGTAAATTTATAGCACTGAATTACATTTTTCTACTAAGAAACAAAGCATAAACGGGAAAACAACAATCACTTGCTCCCTTACTCCAATAAAACTATGTGCAAGAATTACTAAGCGAATTTTACTGAAAGACATGCGCAAAACAACTGCATGCATTATTGTTTCCATCAAAACCAAAAACAAGAAACCAAAAAAAAAACGCAAAAAATTACATAAAAGAAACGGCAAAAAGTCTTTCATATGATTACATACTAACAAGTGAGAGTAAGAAAAATTTAATAACAATAAAGAGGAATTTTATATTGGGGCGAATGCATGCATGTAAATATATTGCAACGGAATTCGCGGCAAAAGCATTCAAACCTGTTTGTCTGTGTTTGTGTAGTGAAATCTTTTATGTATTTGAAAATGGCATGGAGAGAGAGAAAATTTTCGTAAACTCAAAAATAAAAGAGTAAGTAAAATTGTAAACTAAGTGTTCTGGTAGCGCGAGTGCCATATAGCTATATAGCAAACACAAAATACAGTTAACTTTTGTTGTTGATGTTGATGCTTTGAATTTGCACAGCATATGTTGTTGCTCTGCTGGTGTTTCATTTTATTTGTTGTGCTTTGAGACTTGCGTGGGATTGTTGTCAAACAAAAAATTATAAGTGCAGCGAATTGGCGGTAGATTTTCTGCCTTCTTATTTTGTATCTGATAAGCACTCATCATGTGCACATATCGGAAAAGCTTTTCATTTTACTTAATTTTTTTTTTTTGCTTTTAAATAAGTTTGTTTACACATTAGCGTAATATTAAAAATAAATACAAATAAAAAAATTTAATTTATGAAAGATGTTTAAATAAACTTTTATTACTGTTGTATTATTATTTATAAGCAAAATATATGTATAAATATACAAATCGAAGTATATAACTGATTTTGTTAGTTGCTAGTTGTTGTTAGTTGTTGGATCCCAAATAAAAAAAAAAGACAACTATCTATGTATTGTTTATCAAACCTATGATCTAAATATGTAAACCTAAGAAATAAATAATTTTAACTCATGTTACACAAATCTTATTGATCGATAGAATTTTATTTACTTTCTATATTACACCTTTAATTTAGGCTCTACGTAAGGGTGCTCTTAATAATATTACATAATTACTGATGTAAGGGAGACTTTAAACACACTAACATATTAGATACTATTATTATTTACGAATAAGTTATTAATGGTGTAAGATGAGGATTCCAGTTGTTCACAGCACGCGGCGATCAACCAACAAATGACTAACTGCTTTTCTTTCAAATTCGCGTTCATCAGGGTTGCCATCATCTTATACTCACGAAAAAACATAGTACTTTCTGTCAACAAAGAAATTTTCTGAGCATCTTAGAATCCCCTTCACTATTGACAAATATCGAGAGAAAAATTTTTCGAAAAATTTTTGATCTCTTACGGAATGATGATATGTACAATCTATTGTGGAAAAAAGTGCTCCAGCTAATAAAAAATTCAAGTTGATACCTTTTATGGAAAACGTGGTAAAGAACATGTGCATCTTCGTTTAAAGGATCAGGTGACCAACGATATAAAGGAACTTGGTATTACCAACTGGCAATAGCAAACCTCTGATCGGGCTGGCTGACAAAGGCAACTAGATGCGGCCAACGATGACTCAGGTCCGTAACAACCAACGAATTAAATAGAAAATAGTATAGAAATAAACAGGGTACCGGTTCCTAACGGATAGGAGCACCGCCACCATAGTTGGTCTTTTGTGCTGCAAGTAAGTAAGTGATTATAAGAGCATGAACATTTTTGTTTATTTATCATATTTAATTAGTGTGCAGAATAAAAATATTTTTAGAATACCTCACTTACCAATCAATTTCTTTCAGTTTTTTTGCTTAGTTGAAGCGATTTTATAACGAAACTCAAACTTCTGTTGTTTTTGCATTTCGAAAAAATTCAATCATCGACACTTGTGCAGCATATATTATGTTGAGCTCTTTCCGAGTTAGTGCATCTAGGCACTTTTACTCTTTGATAGCTAGGGGGTTTCTGCGGAGTCCCACCCATCTCTCTGACTAATTTATGTATTTCCCGTAGCTTCGTAATTATGCAATGACTGATCTAAGATCTGCGTACCAGTCCATGCGGTTAGTGATTACTCTGAGATTTGATAGATTTGATTTGCAGAGTCCCACCCATCTCTCTGACTAATTTGTGTATTTCTCGTAGCTTCGTAATTATTCAATGACTGATCTAAGATCTGCGTACCGCTTCATGCGGTTAGTGATTACTCTGAGATTTGATAAAGCTAAGTAGGGCAGTTTTCGCATATAGCTTCAGGGCTCTATACCTTACATATTTTTTGACCGAATCAATTTTGTCTCTTAGCATGTGATTCGTGCGGATGTAGCATGGCACTTTGAGAGTCTTCGGAGAGCCTGAATTTAAGCAACTTGCAGTTTCTGGATAGTGGAGTTGGCAGCATATAGCAGCATTAAAATATATTATAATATAATAAATATATTGACTCTAAAGAAATTTAAGTAAGTAATATCTATACTAATTATATGATTTAGTATTCATAAGCACAAATATTAGAAAGTTCTTTAGAAATAAATAAATTATAAATTAATAATTATTAATATTAATAAATTATTATTATTATTTAATTATTTTTATTAGAGTACACATTTGAAATTGATAGATTCATTTCAAATAAATGCCGCATTAAGTTGAACCGGATTCCATAGCTAATCTTTTATGTTATAATAAGTATTGTAAACTGTGGAATAATCCAAAGAGCGGTTGTATACCAAAGAATTTTGTAACAGATTCTCTATGTAGACATATATAGTAATTATTATATTAACTTTTATTCTTAAAAAAATAAACATAAACAATTTCAAATAATTAAAAGTTAAGAGAATAATATATCTTTTCCAGTACTGTACGGACTTCTTTGTCATTACAACAACGAGGGATTTAAATTCTTATCAACTTCTTTGCCAACATATTTGCCAAAAAAACAACTCAAGGAACGGCGGAAGTTTTTTACGTCAGTTGAAAGCAAATATTTTCTAAGTAGTTAATAATGCTATTACTGATAAAGAAGGCAGAAACTCACAGCATCAACTCTAATTGAAGTATCTACAACAACAATAGAAAAAAAATCAAATGAAGTAAACGCGCATGAACTTCGAAGTGCACACAAATGAGATACTTTAAAATATATTTTCGCCCTTGGTATAGTAATTTGGCACAAAATATTACATTTTCGCATACAAACTGAAATTTTTAGATAAAAAATATACAAGAATTTTATGAAAAATGTAACTTTATGAGCCTTCGAAAGAGGAAGTACCGATAAATCCATTAGAATGCTTATCACAGTAATACGAGTAACATCCTCGAAGCAGAAACTCATGAGCTCTGAAGCTCATTTTCCACCGCTAAGAAAAATGCATAACATTTAAAAGTTATCAAATTCTTTTAATTTTGATAAGGAAGCATATGGTACCTCCTTAACATCCTTCATGTTTACTTACTGATGAGATAGCAGTAAACATTTAGCAAGGAACATTTAACTCAACCCATGTACTTTACTTAAG